TTGGATTGCAAACGTTTCATCACCAATCGAGGTGACATTCTCAGTGCAGTAACATATATGCATATGTATATATATACATATATATGTCATCAGTTCCCTCTATCCCTCAAGGATTTTTCCTTGCATAGAGGAATGCGAAACATTAGCATCAAGGAACTAAAACAACACTTTTCTGATTGAATATCATACTGCTCGTTGCCTTGGCTAGTTGACTGGTTGATTGATTGAAGGACAACAGGGAGATCAGTTTGGTCTCTCTTTTGTTGACATCATCTAACAGCATTTGCTATGTTTATCTCCAACTGCATGCTTCTCCCTATCTAATATCCGTTCTCAGCTGGCTCATCGGGATATCGCCGCAAGAAATGTGCTTGTCTGCGAGGGTTACAATGCGAAATTGGGCGATTTCGGTTTCGCTCGTCTTATTGATGATTGTGACTACCGGGACATCGATCGCGTGAGTACTTTTATGTCGCTTAATTTTTCACTTTTTTGCTGCAATACTTTGAGATCGCACATAGGGCTACTAGTGCCATTTCTATTGTGCTTTTAGTAAAGCAGTGCGCCATTCCATTTCAATCCACCTAATGCTGTTCTGTGTTTCGCTTGTTTAGTCAGTTTTGTACTCGTGTGGGATTCTCATGTTATACATCTTTGGTGGACGGATTTGTAGTCTCTTCCAGTCTCCACCCAAACGGGTACTCAGTACTGTTTTCGAGCTAACAGTTCTGTGCCATTCAGTGCGATTGGTCAGTCACGTCCGGTGACACTCATCTAATCTGATTTTACCTCATCCCTGCCAATCGCCGTGCATCTCTACGACGGGATATGTGATGGTCATAGTTGACCTTTGACGATTTGCCTGTAATGGCGTTTGTGCAACATTGAGCGTCCATTTGATGCATTCTAAGAGATGTGCCCCGTGCATTATGCTAGTGCTTCCTCTCTAATCGGCTCTTCTTATAGTATCGCTGCAACTTGATTGATGCCATCGTATTTGTTGATTGTCTAGCGTGAATGGATCGTAAAAAATGACTACATGTCACAAGTTAGAACATCCGTTTTTTGTCAATGGGTTTCCACACATGATCGTGTCCTACTGTTGATCAGCGAATCCAGAAGTTCTGCGATGATTTCCTGCAGTTCATCCATTTCATGGGAAGAACTCTGTCCTTGCACACATACATAGCAATGATCCCACAAACATTTTGGTGACATCCCTCGTGTTCTTCAAACGGATTATCCAAACAGTGGTTCACCGTCGTTTTTGAGCGGTGGATTGTTGTTCCGAGACGTTTGCTCTTTGCATCTTTGTTGACCAAAATTTGCCCCAACGTTGAAATCCGTGACATTCGGCAATTTACTAAAATGAACCTCTCAACAACCGATAACAAGGTTAGACTCATCCGTGGATGATACTCATGGTCACTACCTCTACCCCTTTTGTTGAAGAACAACAAGGACGATTTCTCCATCCTGATCAGTAAAATGACCCCGAGAGCGTGTTGCATCCCTTAGGGAGTTTTGTGCAGTAATCAAAGTAAAGTCCATTTCTTTTGTACATCTATCGAGTAAGTGAACTATGGTGCAAGTGTTGGAAGTTTCAAAACGGCGGTAGACATTCACGGAACAGAACGTGAGAAAATCGGGTGGCCTAACAGGCATTTCACGCACTGCATGCTTGCAAAACCTGGTTTTCGCGAGTGCACTTTTAAGATTTGGAAGTGACAGTTGACAAGGCTGTCCAAACCAACAAATACTAATCAAAAGGGTCACCGTGATTTCAACTATGCTTCTAACTTGCTGCCCTACTGTGTGTGCTTAGGTCGTGAGAATGTGTGCTTCCCGTGTTCACTTCCCTCGAAGCACAAGCCACATTAGACGACTCAGGAATAAGGGCGCGCAAGCGGAGTGAGAGTTTCTGATGGGTATACGTGAACGGAGTGGATACTGTTTGCCACACGGGCGTTTTCTATACACTCTTACTGCACTTTCAGTTTCGGTGTTTCTGAAACGATCCGATTTGAACAAGCCAGTTGTTTTTTCCAAGGCGGTTTTCGTCCCTGATCTGATACTGCATAACCTACATACGGATTGTTCACCTGTTCATTATCACAAAGGAACCAACTAAATGCAGCTCATCCTAGTTTCACATTTCCGAACGGGTTCGGAACCGTCATTCGTGCATTCACTAGCTGCTTTCGATGGCTGGGATTATGAAACTAAACGGGCATACATGAGCTTTACCAGTTCACTCACTGGCATGGAGTGCGCAGTACAAGAGATTCTTACAAATAAGGTTTTTGGGTCTGGTTTGAACTGGATTAGTATCGGTTCTCCTCCTGCAGAAGGAAAAAACATCAAACGTTTTTAACTGTTAAAAACATAAGGAAAACGATTACTGTCCGGATTGGAATATGCATATCGAGGCATTTAGATGTAGCTCTTACTAGGCACTATAGACAATCCTCCTTAATGCTATCACCTTCCGAATTCTGGTCGAATGGTGACATTCTGAGCTGGGGTGCCTAGTGAAGTTCGAGATTTTCCCTTTTATGCTCAACTGATTTTTGTTCACATTCTGTGGTTTCGCTAATCCTTCCTTGAGGCGGCGTATCCAATTTTGTAAACTTACATTTTCCACATACGCCAACTTACTCAAAGTATCATTGCAAATATACCGTTATTCGAAACCCTAGAACCAGTTTTTTTCAAACTTTGAAGTTCACCAAGTGCAGTTGGACTATGCTATGTATTAGATCAGTCATGAGACTGACTCGCCTTTGCACCAACGCCAGCACCAGATCCCTATCAATCAGTGTTATCGCGCTGCTACTGTTGCGACATTTGTATTACTGCTAGGAGTTTTCCTTTCCGCCTCTATGATTTGGTATTTATTGCGGATTTGTCTGCTGTAGGTTTCATAATTCTCTTCAAATGAACCATATCACTACCGGTTCCTTTCAGTAAAGCAACGCCTGAGCTAGCCCCTTATTCTTTTAATAAATAGGTACAGTTAACCATACTGCTCCTCATTTCGACGGGTGTGACTGTCCATCCACACAGCGTCACCGGGTTTAATTCATGGTTTGCAGGGCGAAATTTAGAATGTATCCATCCGTTGAATCCATCCTCAGTGGATTATCATCTTGCAGAAATCGACACCTGTTCCGCTAGTGGGTTCACACGCAGAAACATGGATGTACTAACTTGGATTTCTATTCGGGCTTGTTCTATTCCGTTCCTTGCAACCTATACGTTTTCACCTGCATTTTCCCTACCAGCAATCGCTTTTTTCCACCGCGGGTGACCAAAGGATTAGTTACATCTCTCATGGGTTACCCGGAGGCGTAAACACCAGTTTGGAGATTTGTGCGGATAATGACGTTACTGGAATCGTCTAACCACTGGCCACCGGGTTGATAATTTCGTGATTCATAATGTAGCAGTCTTATCCAGGCTACGTTCCGTTAGAAATGTGGCTTAACTTACGTTTGACCGTACTTTTCATTTATGCGTCATCGTTCTTTGACCCCAATCTGCAGTTCATCGCCCGTTGACTATCACTCAGTTCTTTCATCGTCTCGTACATATTTTCGTTTTAGGATCAATTACCTTACAAATGGATAGCTCCCGAATGTTTTGAGAATAATCAGTACTCATTAAAAAGCGATATATGGTCGTTCGGAATTTTGCTGTGGGAACTATTTAGTCTGGGTGAGACACCTTATCCGGGTGTATCCACGGCCGATTTGCCCGAATGGCTTGCCGCAGGCAATCGAAATACGCAACCCCTGCTTGCCGATTTAACCTTGTTCAATCTGATGCTGCGTTGTTGGGCCGCTGAGCCGACCGATCGGCCCACATCAAAAGACATCCAACAGGAGTTACTCAGTTACTCATTTGGAAATCAGTTCAGTCCGATGCGACAATCTTCGCGCGATAGCGGGTTCTGTAGCATGTTCCGATCACATCAGCCCAGTCTACGTGATTCAGGTCTGACAGAAGTGTTGCCAGACGTGGATGCACCGCCACCGATATTGAGTGTGCCCCGTAAACCAATGCCACCGGTTCGAATCTGTTCGCTCTCACTGAGGGATAAATCCTCGTTTTCGGTGAGCGGTATCATTTGTTATCCGCGTTTTCTATTGTCCTTTTAGCCTCATACCACGGATGCGTTATGTATGTAGGTACGTTTATATGTATGTATGTATGTATGT